CGCAAGCAGCCCTTCTGCCTGCTGCTGCGGGAGGCCGAGGCGGGATCTTCCTTCAGCGATTCCTCGGAGGACTCGTTCGATCAAGGTTACTAGCTTATAGCAAACGCAACCCCAAACGCACCCTTCCGCCATGTCTGTGTGGGAGCGGGCGGGGTGGGGGGCGAGGGTGAGTGAGGGGCCTGGCGGGCCGGGGTCAGCCATTTTGATGGTCGGAGCCAGGGCGGCCATCTTTGTTCTTGGCAGCGTAGCCTGCTTTATCAGCCGGACGTTTATTTTTTATCCTTTTTGTACCTGTATCATTGTGATATTATTACTGGCTGGCTCTTTTAGAGCTTTTATATCAACTGGGTTTTAGTGTCCACCTCTCCCTGCTTTCCTGTTCCCTTCCTCCCTTCAGTTTTTCCCTCACTTTCTTCCTTGCTGCCACCACCACCATTATATTATTATTACTATTATTATTATTTTATTCCTTATTATTTTATTCCTTATTTTATTTTATTCCTTATTTTATTTCTTATTATTTTATTTTGGCATGAGCCTTGTAGAGGTTTGGAAGGAGTTGTTTGGGTTTTTTTAATTACTTTCCTTATTTTTTTTTCTTTTTTCTTTTTTCTTTTTTCTTTTTTCTTTTTTCTTTTTTCTTTTTTCTTTTTTCTTTTTTCTTTTTTCTTTTTTCTTTTTTCTTTTTTCTTTTTTTCTTTTTAATACCGGGATACTGTTGTGTGGCCGTGTGACTTGATGTTTGTACTACAATTTGGTATACCAAGCTTTATTAAACATATCGAGTTCATTTTTAACTAAACCTGTGTACCTTGTCTCTCTTGCTGTGTCTCTTATCAGGCGATTAGGTTGCCGCTTCACTTCATCCTGCTCTGCATCCCCCTCCTGCTCCCACTCCCCATGAGTAGAACTGGAATTAACCTAGTCTGGGGTACTCTCTATTATTCAAATATCCCTGCTGCCTTTGTCCAGATAAAGCCTAGGCCTTCCCCCCTCCAGCCTCTTTAATTTAATTTTTATTTTGTTCACCCAGTTTCGTTTTTTTCAGTTTGTTTCCTCTGTTCATAGGCTCTCTCGAGGCAGGCACGTAAAATGTGGAGGCACTTGGTCTCTATTGCTGCTGCCGGAGGGTGCTGGGCATAAGGTCCCCGCTATTTAACAGCCAGAATTTTTTATTTTTCGCTTTTTAAAATGTATAAGGCAAGTTTTTGCATCTCTTTTTGGGTGGGAATTTTTTTTCAGACGCCCAGACGTAACCCATGGTGTTCAAGGATGTGGCAATTACTGCATTAAATTTGACTCTGCAGTTTCCCTCCCTCACCCTCACCCCAGTTTTTTTCTTGCAGCTTCTTTTTGTCAGCCTGTCATTAGTACTTCAGTGGGAAAAGAGATTACTTGAGACTTTTCCTCCAGAGACACAAGGGGTTTCTGTTTTAGAGCATACTCATTAAATAATAATCATGGGGAAAGGTCATTTTAATGAGCCCTCAGCTCCCAAAAGAAAGTAGCTCATCTGGGCTGAATGCTAAGCAAGAGCATCCCCAGTTGTTATCATCTAAGTTACACGGCAGATCTGGATGTAGCACAGCAAAAGCCTTTTAGTATTTCACACTGCTCAGACGGCTGTTAATTGAAAACGGGGCTAGATAGTTTTGCTTTTGTTTTGTTTTTTTTTCTTATTTTTTTTGATGTTAATTTCCTTCATGCACCTATTTGTTTTTTTCTTCCCTCCAAACCCAACCTCCAAAGAAAGATAATTTAAGCTAAAAAAAAAAATAATTATCAAACACAGCAGAAAGATAGAGAACGCTGATTCAGTTTGATGTGGCTCTGGGCTGGACCCACCAATTCATTTCAAAGAAAACTCAAAGGAAAGAAATATATGCTAAAAAAAAATAATATTCTTTAGAGAACCCCAAAATTTCTGGGGATAGTGGATTCTATATAAGGGTGAGATTGCCATATTTCCATTAAGAGTCTGCGTTAACTTCCATTCTTCCCTTCCCTGTTCCTTCCTGCATCTTTTCTTTGTTTATTTTGTTGCTGTTAGAAATTTTGAGGATATCAATCCCTTTTAGGTTCCAAGTTCTTGAGGGTTTTTTGGGTTTGCTTTTTGGTTTTGCTCCAGGTAAGCAGATAGGTAACTTGTCCCTTATTGGCTTTGTCGATTTTTCAAGTAACCTGTCTGCTTAAAAAAAAAAAAAAAGTAAAAATCCCAGTTTTATGGGATAAAGTCTGGGGAAGGGAGGGGATATGGGAGGAGGTTGGGGAATCTGGAACAAATGGGGAAATGCATTGTAAATCCCTCTGGGGTGTCATTTAATGGTGGGGAAACCAAAGATGCAAAACCTCCTGGGGTGGGAGGTGGGCATGGAGAGGGAGGTGGGGAGGGATTATTGGCTACGGTTTTGTTTTTTTTCTGCAAATGGTTGGTTTTTTGTTGTTTTTTTTTTGGTTATTCTTTCTCAGAAGCATTACTTGAAGGGATATTTGGGTAATAGGGTTTCTAATGGCTTTCCCTGATACTAAACCGATTAATAACCTCAGCTTTTCTAGAAGTGCTCGCTTTCTCCTTGCAGCTGCTTGACCAACCCTTTCACCCCTGCCCCTATCCATGATGCTTTGAATGTCTGTGTCGGTCTCTTGCATTTGCTCTCACGCTGCACTAAAGAAGCAAAGTGGTTGGCTGGTTGTAGGGCAGACACTTCTCAGCGAGGGTCACTAGCCATGAACCCGAACCTTGACCATTGTTATGTAGGTAGGCAAAATAACTTTTCTTTATGTCACCTGTCAGCCTCAGATGTTTCGGTGTTACCTCCATGAATAATGACACGTAGCTCTTTGCATTCTCTTGGTTATTTTAATTTTGAAGATGATTGCTGTCCGCTTTTGACTTTCCTCTGTCCATGAAGAGTCTTGCATGGAAGGTTTGCTTGTATGTATGTGTTTGAGGACTCCAGAAATGCTTTACTGTTTGCAGACATTCTTTTCTAGAACCCCTTAACCCACCAAAGGGGAGGATCTGCAGATGGGTCCAAGATGAGAAGCCACGGCGCTGCCTGCAAAGGCTCTGCCACTGTCCTTAAAGGTTTCAGGGCCACGATGCAGACCGTTCTAGTATCAGGGTAATTAGCTGGCCATGGCCCTGCCAGTATCTATGTCAGAGGTAGGAGCAGCTGCAGGAAGACCTGTTTTCGTCTGGTTTGAGTTAGAAGAGGTATGGACACTCTGCTTTCTTGCAGACCAAACACCATGTTACGATTCTGATAACGGGCAAAACTTGTGGGTTTTCATCCAGTGACCTTGGAGAGGAAACTGCTAATGTGGGCCAAAGCCACATGGGACCTTTGAAAACCATCAGCTAGATAATACCATGAGCTTTCTGAGGCCAAAGACCTTCCTTCTCTTCAATACTCTGTTTTCCTTTGAAAATTACTAAGAAATTAGTACCTTCTTCTCTGCTCTGCTTTCCCTGACTTGGAGGATGATTTTATCCCAATGAAAAAAAAAAAAAAGAAACAATGAGGGATAACTCCCTCCCTACACAATTAGTTCCATGTGATAGTTGTAATATTTTTAATTTTTATAAGTACTTCTGGAGTCAGCAGCACAGCACATATGAGGGGAAAAAATCTTCCAATGATCAGAATTGGCTTGTTTGACAAAAAAAAAAAAAAGGTAAAATCTTAAATTGGACATTCAAAAATAAGTAACTTCCAGAATTTGGACAGATCACACAAATCAGATGTTAATGACCCAGTAGCTGTCTAACGTCTGCCTGTACTTAGCCTGCTTTGTATGCTGTAGGCCTGCTTGGTGTTATGAGAAAACCATGCTATTTTTTTTACAATGTGAAATGACTCTCTTAAGTGTGTGTTTTTACTCCCCCTTTCCCAAGCCTTTCCTCTCCACATCCCCCTCAATCTGTCTTGTTACATCAGTCTTTACAAACCAAATTGCTTAACCAATTTCTGTTCATCATTAACAAATCTTCATTTACTGCTCTCCTATATTAAAATACCATGGCAGCTTGGCTGTTAAAAGCAATGAGAAAGTTTAGTATTTTTAATTGGGTTTGTTTTTTAATTTAGTGAAGGTAAAGATTTTACCAAAAAAAAAAAAAAGATCGTCTTTGGCTCCAGTTTAACTGGCACCAGTAGCATTTAAATATGCATTTATTGTTTGTTTTGGTTGTAGAGTTGTATGTACATGTGTGGTTGCGTGTGTGGGTATATACACACATATACATGCTCTTAAAAATGTCAGTTAGAAAAGATATTTTTAACTTTGAGTATTTTTTCCCTTAAGCTTGTTCAATGTTAACAGAATGACTGTGGAAGGAAAAAAAATATTTTTTAAAATGTCTTTTTCCCCATTGTTCACTGGAAATCACCTTTTCAGGAGAAAAAATAGAGGTTTCAATTGTGTAAAGGCAGCTGTGCATACTTCATTTTAAGCCCACATGTAGTTTGGGTAAAGTAGGAGTAAAACTCCTGCTTCACATTAAATACAGGCATCATGAGTCTCTCCTAGAAGCCGTGTACATGGCCATAGAGCACCAGCAGCCTCTTTGCCACCATGACCATAAATCTGGGGACTTAGTTTAGAAGCATGTGGGTTTGGAGCAGAGCCCCAAATGTGTTCTTTTTGTTTCACTTGTTAGTTTTCTCCCTTGGAGTGGGGATTGTGCTGTGCGTGCAGAGCAGAGTTAGCAAGATCTGCCCTCACCATGAGGGGTGGAGGAGGATAGACCTGTGCTGTGAATGTGTTAAAATGTGTTTATTTTCAGGCTGAAAGTTGAATCTCATGCGGATAAAAATATAAGTGTTTTGGTAAAAATGCTGACAAGAGACTATCTTCAGTTGTCTTTCCATAGCGTGACACCATATATTTGAAAGAGGTTAGAATAACTGCCAGGTACGTTATTGTGTCGTGCATTTTCTGTAGCGTGAGTAATAGCCGCTTTCATCCTGGCTTTTAAATCTGTTTGACCTTGCTGCATTTGAAATACTGTAGCTGCTGGGCACCCTTGTGCCCTCGCACGGGCAGTGTCGTTAAGTGCCGGAGGAGTGGTGCTGCCCGTGCTCGGCGCAGAAAGTTGGTGCGGCAGAGCCAAGGGTGTTGCAGGGGATTCGCACGGGACAGGTCAAGGAGGGATTTTCCTGCAGACTTTCCCCTTTTTTTGCCTGTTTTCTCCCCCAGCTGCTCAGCAAGCGGCTCTCGGGGTCTGGCATGAGGGGCTGTACAGGTTGATGTTTTTTCAATTTATTTTTTTTCTTGTTCTGCTGAGAATTACTGAATTTCGGAGCCAAATGGGATGCGTGGAGAGGGGCTCAGTACCCCATGGTGTGTCATTGAACTCAGGCACGCTTCTGCTGCTTTTCAGGCAGGTGGTTTCGGCATCTCAGAATAGCTGAGTTCATCTGGATTTGTTTTGTTTTTGGCAAAACGTTGTAGAAAAACAGCATTTGTGCCCCCTTTTCTGGTAGGGGAAGGAATCTGATCCTAATTTGCTGTGCTTTTTTTTTGGCATGTGGTTTTTATGCAAGGAGTGAGCAGGGTTGTGGATTTCTTGGTATTTACTGCAGGACTGTAGGTTTAGTAGCATTTTTATATCACAAGGAACCGGCTTGAGCAACTGAAATGAGGAGGGGATTTTTATGCAGTTAAAAATTAGTATTCTGTGACTATCTGATGTATGCTACGGAGAAAAACTCTCCTTGTTAAAAAAATCCCAAACACAAAACAATAAAAAAATAGCTGGCCATTACTTCAGTTGATAAACTGCAAGGATGAGAACACTGCTTTCTGATATTCCTGTTATTTTTAATGTCGTGGAAAAATAATCCGAAGTGGAAAAATAACACTTGTGTTATTGTAATTTTTAGGGGTTTTTTTGAACAACCAAGTGTTGAGGACATTTTTATCTATCCCAGAGGGCATACGTGAAAAGAAAAGGATTTTCATGTTCATTCCAGCTCATTTTGAAGGGATCTGGTTTCTCATTTGGCTGGCTTTCAGACGAAGGGATAGCGGCTGGCGGGGAGCTGCCGAGTGGGCTCAGGCGGGAGAGCAGGGCTCCTGCTAGCGGTGGAAATTTTCCATCCACCTTGATGATCCTGCTTAAGCCCTCAATTTCAAGAGAAATGAAATATCTTTCCCAGACCTGCTTTTTTGCAGTTAGATACATAAATTTCTATGTGCTCATATATGTGTGTGTATATGTGTGTGTGTGGTATATGTGCATTTGTGTAGTGACTCTCGCTCACCAGCACTAACTGGATGAGATGCCGTTAAAATTAATTGCCTTTGAGCTGATGACAGACTCTTGGGAAGTGCTGTAGGAAGGGAGAGATGCCACTCTCAGAGCATCTACCCCCAAAATACCTGCTGTGTATACACACTGTAGAGGAAAACCCCCAGCCTGCTGCTCTCTGCAGGTGTCAGCCGAGGCAGGTATCAAGGCTGATTCCTTTGCCAGAATTAGATTTTGGGCTGTGGGCAGCTCTTCCTGCCTGTGCTGAGCTGTAGAGAGGGAAATGAAAGGCACGGAGAGTTTTGAGGCAGAGCATTTAAACACTCCTTGTCTCCAACACTACCTACACTTTTCCCCCCTTCTGCATTCCAAATCCATTGCTTTCAAATTATTATTTCCCTCCCTCTCTTTGCATTTTTGCCTCCTGCCCCTTCTCCTCTCTGTGTCCTCCTTGCCTCCCACCATGGCGCAAGCTGATCTCTGGTATTCCCCTTCCATGCTGATCTCTGATTCTCATTACGCTAATGGATTTCGTTATGGAGGAAGAGGTGGTGGGCGGGAGGGGAATCCCACAGCTCCGAGGTTGGGATTTTCAAAGGAATTAAGCTTTTAATTCCTCCTGAAAGCTGCAGGGAAGGGGTGCGTGGCATCCTTTTCAAATCTCTGCCAACACCCTGCTCTTCCCTCCCTTGCCTTCAATGGGTCCTCTTTGCCTTACCCTGCATTGCTGTGTCCTTCAAGGGTGGTGGTAGGCAGGGTGATAGTGGCTATATGGCTGCAAGGTCACGTCTGTGTCCATGGCCAACATCTTCTGGCTCAACTTACGGGTGGCTCAGTGCTACTTGGTGAGCGCAGAGCAGCAGGAGTTAACGGTTCGGGGTGGAAATGTGGCTGATGCACAACTCCATGAGATTTGTAATGGGTTCCCTCTTTTCTGCGTGCTAGATTCTAGCTCAGAGGAAGAGGAAGAGGAGGACGAAGAGGAAGAGGAGGAAGCAGAGGACTACGGGACAGACGGCACTGACAGGCTTTCATCGCCTGCTCTTGACGAGAGCGGCCTGGGCCTTCTAGCAAGGTTTGCCGCCAGCGCAATGCCCAGCCCCATCGTTCCCCCTCCACTTTCCATCATCCAGCTGGAGGCCAAGCAGAAGGCGAAGAAGAAGGAGGAGCGGCAGAGCCTGATGGGTGAGTTGCGTGGTTAGGGTTGGTGCCACGGGAGCAAGGGGGAAGGTTCAGGAGGTCCCAGCTGTGCTGCAAGAGAGTGGGACACTGTTTTGCTCTTTCCTTGGTTTTGGCTACTTGGTCCTGACGCTGAAGGCAGAGGGAATAGTCTGGCAAGAAAATAAGAACCAGTCACGGATATGGCAGGTTTAGCAGCTGCAGCCATGGCTTCCCTAGGGGCAGTTGCCTGTGGCTTTCTCAAAGTTTTCTCTGTTCCTACCTGGCAAATCCTTAACAGTCACGCTGCACAGGCAAGCGATGGGATGCTGTGTCCCCTTGGACAGAGTGCTGAAGGCAGTGAAGTGCTGTTACCTTGTAGGGAAGGAATCAGGTGCTGTATGCAGTTGGTCTTAGATACCCAAGAGAAGCAGAGACACCTAAGTAGAAGAAAAACCCCTCCAATCAGCCTATCCCATCAGCTTCCTCGTAGAAGCCAGCCAGCGAGACTTGAAATGCCTTCCTCTGCTCACGTGCTTGCAGTGCCAGACCCTGTGTTTCTGTCCCTGTCTCTGTCTCAGTTTCAGTGTGTTGCACATAATTGGAGTTTCCTTTCTTCCCCTCCCCGTGCCCTGCTGCACAAGTGCCCGTTGGTGACATCGTTCCTGGCCAGACAGATCTATATGGGCTCCATTTATAAATTTTCTATTAATATTTATTAAGTGATAATGGAATTTATAGCATGCTTCAGAATGGAAAATGATGTCTTTCTTGGGAGCCCGGCTTGTTTTAGTACTGTTTCCATGCTATATTAGGCTTTTGCCAACTTGTTCCAACAGCCTCTGTTAAGAATTTATCGTCTTGTAACCTGCCCTCCTTGAAACTGGAAGCATCTAGAAATTGCCTCATGCGGCAGTGAGCAAGGAGAGGGAGTGTTGTAATTTCCAGTGGGTTTTTCATTTTGAGCCTTGCCAGCTTTGATTTTGACAGGCTTGCTCTTTTTCTGCTCGTGCTGGGGCTGTCTCAGGGGAAGAGGTTTGGGTAGAAGATGAGAGCAGGTTCCTGCGGGCTGAATTTACCCAGAAAAGTGAGCATAGTTGAGAGAGAAGGACTGAGAGAAGATGCTCTCCATGCTTGTGCCTCGTATGTTTTCGTTTGCCCACGTGAATTTTGTTCAGTCCTGTATGTCCTTTCACAAGGGTCTTCTGCAAGCAGTGGTTATCACAGCAGTGGCTGTTCGTGTTGGACTTGAGAAGAGGTTCTGCCAAGCGAGGCACGATTTCAGACCTTGTTGATCTGAAGGCAGAGTCATGCAGACGTGTGTGCAGAGAGGGCAGATCCACAGCAGGTTGGAGGAGGATACAAGAGAGACCTTTGGCTGATGCTCTGTTTTGGAGAGGGAGAACCAGGTTCTGTTGATGTTCCTACACATCTTCAGAGGTGCTGTGCCATCTCACAAGGTCCAGTGCCCTGGGAAATAAGTGGGTTTAGAAAATCTGGGCTCGGTCTCTTGTTCCAGCATGGACTCACTGCATGACCTTGGGCAAGTTTCTTCCTGGCTGTTTGTGTCCCGCCAACGGCACAGTTCTTGTGCAGCCACAGTACTTTGCCTATATCCTGCCCATGTTGCTGCATGTGTAGGTCCTGCCTCAGTTTCCCTTCTGCCCCTGGAAACATATGATCTTGCTCTCCTTTATCAGATTCTGGGGAGGGAAAAACCCTGAAGGTCGTAAACATCTTGGTGTTACTACAGTATTTCAGGCTTCTGGGTAGTGCTGTGCCCATGATGCTGAGCGGAGGCCAGTGTGAGGGGATTTCCATTTGCCACAGACAAAAGATCATTTGCCTCTCTTGACTTTAAGGCAATTACCTGAGCCAGTAAAAAGATCTGTAGTGTCTGTTGGCCAATGGGAAAAAAATAAGCTTGAAATACGGGATTATTCAATTCGTTAAAGACATTGTTCTCCTGAAACAAAGGTGAGACCAGAGAGGGCTCCCACTGGGAGGGGGGGGAAGGCTTAGCTTATGGGGTTTGTGCTTTACTTCAGCCAATCAACTTCTTTTTGTGGAGGGGCAAATGTTAGAGTATCTGGTCTCTTTGGAGCTTCCCTGCAGGGTTTTAGTTGTGGGAGAAGGGAGAAAACGGAGGCAGGGAAGACACTGAACCACACTGCCTGAATGGCTGGGCTCTGCTTCGCGGCAGAAGAGACTTATTTTCAGTGAAGTCAGGGTTTTATGGGGCAGAAATGCAGATCTGAGGGATGTGGGGACTGGAAAGGGAAACAAGCTAAGGGCTCTCTTTAACAGGTACGGCATCTTCCATGGAGCCCAAAAGCTTCCAGCAGGGTGTGGCACTTCTTGGCTCAGCCAGGGCTTTGACTGATGGTTAAATCCTTTGCACCTAGGGACAGAGTTTGAATACACCGACTCAGAGAGCGAGATCAAGATCAGGAAGAAGTCGCCCTCGGGGCTGCTGCGAGGAAAAAAGGGGCCGCTGGAAGCAAGCAGCATCCCGCCGAGCCAGGCCCCCAGCAGCCTCGACTCCGGATCTGGGAGCACTGACAAGGCCAAGCTTGGGTCTGAGAAAGGCCGCAAGCTGAAGAAATTCAAGTCCCCCAAGGACTTGAGCTTTGAGTTTGGGCTGGAGGCCAGCGATGACGACCTGTGGAACCGGCGCCGGAGCGAGCGGATCTTCCTCCACGATGCTACCACGTCCTCGGCCGTGCTGACCCCTGTGGCACCCGCCAGCTCCACTCCTGTCTCCAAGCCTGGGCGCTGTGGCAAGGGGGCACCCATGAGCCCCAAAAAGGAGGGCAGCAAGGGGAAGGAGAGAAAAGAGCTAAGCAAGGTGAGGAATGCACTGGCAGAGTTGGTGCGGGACCCTTGGGAGCTGAGGGGGAGGGGAGGGTGATTAACTCCGTTAGGGCAGAGGAGAGTTGAGTCCTGTCTCGGCAGTTGCCCCAGTGCTCTTCGGCTATCCCTTGCCACCCCTGCCAGCCCCACATACACCTGGAGGAGCTGTCAGGCTGGAATCTGACTTGCAGGGAGTAAAAGCCTGTTCTGTTTGAACAGGGCAGGTTACTTGTGTCTCCCTCCATGTCCCAAGTCCATCCTGCTTGAATTGGCCAGAGTGGACATCCTGCATTAAAACATCTGTGAAATCTCTCTCCCTCTCTCTGCACAACCTTATCCACTTGCTGAGCTGTGGCCCCCATGCTGGCCTTTAAGGCTGTTCACCTTTTATACGGTGTCTTCTGAGGGCTGTCTGTGGCTGGTGATGGCAGTGATCTCTGGGTTGCTGGCTGTTCGTCTTGGCTGAAAGCTCAGTTCCCTCCGGCTCCGGTTCATTTCATGGCAGCATTACAGAGGGAGCACTGATTGTGGGGAGAGTTAGACAAGTTAGTTGTGACATGAGGCCAGCTGGGATCTTCTTGGAGATCTTTGGGGGAAGATTTGACGGGCAGGAGTTGGTCTCCAGGGTAATGAACGTTCTTCCCAAAGTGTGTGAAGCCTGAAAATAGAGCTGGGAGATGTAGGATGCGGTGCAGTCAGTGAACTAACTGCTGGCTGACAGTCATCCTACCTGTGAACAGCCTGCTTTGCTCCACCTTTCCCCTCTCTCTAGGCCTAGGTCCTCTCTTTACTGATGGGAGTGTTTTCTTTTTATTTTTAGCAGCGGAAGAAAGGTAAAGAAACACAATGCTGCTCCTCCTCCTCGTCCATGTCTCCTCCTGGCATCCCTAGCTCCCCATCTGATGTTCGTGTCAGCCTGGCGAATGCCCTGGGCTCCACCAAGAAGAGCAAAGCCAAGGTGAAAGCCAAGGAGGTGAAAAAAGAGGTGAGGGGCTGGTTCTAGTCTGGGTGAACTGGTGGGTTGCTAGCAGTGCCCTGCTCTTTTCCTGAACTGTGGGAGGGAAAACAGACATGCAGGTTTTGCTAGATGTGTTACAGGCAGAATGCTGGTTTGAGAAGCCTAAAATCCAAGGAAGACTATGAGGTAGTACCTGCTGCTACCATCTGGCGTTCGTTTGCCTTCATCCCTCAAATTAATGAGCAGGCAGAATTTTCTCTAAGTCTGCCACAGGGTGGAGAGAGAGCCTTCACGGATAGCAAGGACCAAGGAGGTGGTGATGGAGTTGCCTTGCTCAGCACTGGGTGAGCCAGGTCGTAACTGGTGTCTGCTCCATTGCTGTAGCCTGTCTTCTCTTACAACACACGTTACTGTGTCTGCTCATATGATTTCTGAGTGTAATGCTTATGGTCTGTGTGTAACAGCAAGAAATGGCTCATGGGGCTTTGATAAGAAATAGGAACAGTGCCTGCTGCCTGTTTAGTGAAGACAGAGTCTCAGGAATACTGTGCAGAGAGATGGTGAGTGCAGAGCAGAGCTGCAGCTGTCTGCTCCACAGCATCTCTCCTAACCTCCAGGAGTGAGATGTGGCTAGGATGTGTGAAATAGCTTTTGGTCAGCTGTCAAGGTGTTTGTTCAACCAAAAAGCAAGTTTGGGTACACCCACTTAACTCTCTGTGTAATTAACGTTGCTGAGGGCAGAGACAAGTTTGTCCCAATATCCTCAGGTTATTTGTTGCTGGAGGAAGGTGAGATGGGTTCAGACTATCGCCTGTTGTCATCCAGCTGACATGCTGCTTGCTCTCCTGCAGAACCGAGGGAAAGGAGGAGCTGTCAGCAAGCTCATGGAGAGCATGGCAGCAGAGGAGGATTTTGAACCCAACCAAGACAGCAGCTTCTCAGAGGATGAGAACATTCCCCTGAGCATGCTGGTCGAGCGACCGCCCACACCAGGTGAGGGCAGGAGGGGCCGGGGCCCTAACTGTACAGGTAGAGGAGCTGGGCAAATTTTCCAGAGCTGCTCAGAGGAGGACTGTGCTGCTTTCACACATTCCTCATCCAAAGCCACAAGTCCTTGGGGTGGAGATGCCACTTTTCCAGTCAATTTGGCTTGCCAAAAACAAGCCTTGTCAGAATGGCCCACTGTGACATCTAGATGAAGTCCAGTCTCTGAGCTGCCCTATTTTCATTTACCAGTATATTACTGTTACTAAGAGGGAGGTACTTTTTACTATTACGAAGAGGGCAAAATTTTCCTCTGCCAGGAGCTAGCCAGAGAGAGAGAGCCCTTTCTACAAAGGGCTTACTGGCCTTTTCCCAGGGGAGGATGATGCTGGGAATATGAGGTTTCCTTCTCCCCCTGCAGTCACTTTTTCATGTATGGTGCTTTCTAATCCCCATCTTGCTCCAACGCCTCACAGCTCCCCGCTCCTGCATAATTGACAAGGATGAGCTAAAAGATGGTCTGCGTGTCCTCATCCCCATGGATGACAAGCTGCTCTATGCCGGGCACGTCAAGACAGTGCATTCACCAGACATGTGAGTTGAGGGGTTACTGTATCCGCCTGGGCTCTGCCAGTGAACGGGGACGTAGCTGATGCAGGGATCGATTTGGGGGTTGTGTAGAGCTGACTGGAGAGAGACTGACAGAGTCTGGCAGGGAGGGAAGGACAGTTCACTCTGGTTTATCAGCGCTGAGGAAAATCCAATTACCCCTCATCAAATGCTCTCAACTAAACTGGTGGTGGGGCTCAGAGGGCGGTTAGTTGATTGGGGTGATGACTTCAACGTGCCGTGTCTGACCGGGCCTTTGTGTTTCAGATACCGTGTGGTGGTGGAAGGCGAGAGGGGAAACCGTCCCCACATTTACTGCCTGGAGCAGCTCTTGCAGGAAGCGGTATGTGAGGCCGAGGGGTACCTGTCCTTAGTGCCTGAGCTCTGTTTTGGGGTGGAGGAGGCTAGCTGGAAGCTTCCCCCTTCCCCAGCTGGGGCTGTAGGGGTGCCCTGGTCCTGCCTCCGTGGCCATTCTGGGCAAGAGCTCCCCTTTGTGTGGGTCACTGCCCCATAGCTGAGCTCCCCCACTGGCAGTGGGCGCTAGGCCTATACACCAGCAGGGCTGGTCCTTCACATGGCCCTGTGAGCAGACAGGAGGCCATATCCCAGCAGGGAAACTGTCCGTTGCCTGTTCCAGAGCTGCTTCGCAACACGCTAGGTGTGGTGGTGGACTGGTCTGTGCTGGTGCCAAGAACGTCAGTAATTGTCTTCCTCTTGCCCCGAGCAGATCATCGATGTGAAACCACCTTCAGTGCGATTCCTGCCCGAGGGCACGAGGATTGCAGCCTACTGGAGCCAGCAGTACCGCTGCCTCTACCCAGGGACAGTTGTCCGAGGTAAGGCCACCCTGGCTGCTCTGTGCTGTGAACCAGGGACATCTCAATCCTGGGCGTCCTGAGGGGTGTCAGGCTTGTCTGGGGAAACCCTGGGATCTGCTGTGAGTATCCTGGAGGTCAGAGCCTGGTCCCTTCCTCTCCTCTGCATCATGCCAAACTCAGTCACGATGCTGGTTTAGTAATATCTTGGTGGTCCAGGAGATGTGCTCTTGTAGGAAGAGGTCTGAGCAAGTAACAGGGAAGTTCAACACTCTTCAAAAAGACAGAATTATTTCCAGCCCAGGCACCAAAGATTGCTGAGGTTGTAGAGGTTTCTGAATCACCTGCACACTCAGAGCTCTGACACATCTACTCCCCAGTCTGGTCGCATTAAAAAGCAAGTGAAGAAGAGCCCTGGACAATTCTACCATGGCTGGTCTTGCTTTTGGGCTCTTGGTTGCACTATTTGTGTAAAAGGGAAGAATTACTTAACAAGTTATAGACCGTTGATGCTGATGCAAGAAGGGAGGGTGGGAACACAGCTTATTTTTCTTGGAGAGAAAGTGAAAAACAGCAGTATGTGACTGCTGAGAGTAGTTACAAAATGCAGGTCAAAAAAAAAAAAAGATACTGCAGTGGAAACAGAGAAGTGAATTTCTGCAAGAATAGAGAGAATAATAGAGAAATAATAGAGAATAGAGAATAATAGAGAAAAGAGGTGGGAAGACAAACTGGAATAGTTGTGATGTTCTGGAGCAGTGCTGTTGACTGGGAAGTTTTACACTGGGTGGGCTGGTTTAGTGTTATCAGGGTCTTTGCGTTGCGAGCGAGCCTTCTGTGCTCTCCCTGCACACCGTAGGAAGGTGGAGACAGGATGCTTTAGAGCTGGTGCAGGTTACCCCATGTCCCCACTTCCCTGACAAAGCGTTTGTACTCTTATGTTTGTCCCTAATCCTATCTTCTGCTCTCCCAACCCACAGGAGCCTTGGATCTGGAGGAAGATGGTGATCTCATCACAGTAGAATTTGATGATGGGGACACAGGACGTATCCCACTGTCTCATATTCGGCTTCTCCCACCTGACTACAAGATTCAGTGTGAGTCTGGCTGTTTAGTTTTTTGCATGACACTTCCCACTATGAAATGTAGGGAGTTTCAGGCCACCTGCCTCTGGGATTTTGGGTGGAGTTCACAGACTTTCAGTCACAAAGATTGCACCATCAATTAGGGACATGCAGAGTGGGGAGTGGGATAACCCATAGGGGAAAAAAGCCCAGTCCCTATTGCAGAATTTGTAGGGATTTGTTCCCTGTATCACATCTCTGTTTTATGTGTTACTTGACTGCATTTGACCATCTCTTTGACTTCTTCCAGGTGCTGAGCCTTCCCCGGCCCTTTTGGTGCCCAGCACCAAGCGCCGTAGCCGTAAATCCAGCAAAGACACTGGAGAAGTAAAAGAGGGAGCTACACTGGGGTCAGAGGAGCCCGTGTCGAAGGGCAAAGGGCGAGGGAGAAAGCCAAGCGTCAAGGCGAAAGCTGGTAGGTTGTCACCACTGCCAGACCTGGAGTTGAGAGAGTCCTCGCACAGTTCTCCACCATTCTCCCCAAGTCTGAGCTGTTGCTCGGGGCAAGATTTGGAGGGGACTGGGTGCGCAGCTTGAGTGCAGAACATCCATTCATCAGCTCGCTCTGCTGTGGCTACAGTTTGCAGGAGGCTGGCTCAGAAGCTGGCCTGTGCTGTGAGAGCCTCCTTCTGTCAGTCAGCGCTGCAGAGCAGGGTCCCTTTTTCAGCTGAACGTCTCAGCAGCCATCGGTAGGGCCAAAGATGCGGGAGATCTGCAGTTTGGTTCCCCTGCAGTTGAAGCAGCATCGCTGGGCATTGCCTATCAGCTGCTCACAGGCCCTGGCATCAGGCCAGGCTGCTTAGTAAGGCTGTTGAGTGACAAGGGGGGGACCTGTCCCTCTTCGGGATTACCTGAGCAGTTGGGAACAAGCCACCCTTGGCCAGAGACCAGTCAGCATTGGTGTCTGGTTGTGTCTGAGCAAATAGTGCCCATCTGAATGGATACCATCATGCCTTTGTGTTTCTTCCTCTCTGCAGAAGAGGCCGCCTTGCCAGAAGAGAAGGATCAGGTTGAGTCTTCACCTGTTACCTCTTCGGTCCCAGAGAAGCCAGCCTGCTTGGGCAAGTCAAGCATGAAGGGGTCACGAAAATCACAACCGCTGCCAGCTGGAGGCTCTCCTGCCCCCACAGAGGAAAAGCGGTCAAAAGCCAGCAAAATGAAGATCTCCACTAAGCTGCATAGCCCCCCGCAACCCTCTTACCAGCCTGCTGTGTTTGGCAGCATCCTCAGCACAGAGCCCTACAGCGACCTCCCGGGGACGCTGGCGGCCTTCGGCTCCAGTGATGCTTCGGCGTCAAAAGCCAAGGCCAAGAAAGGGCGGCCCACGGAAGAGACGCAGGAGTTTGGCACCATGGTCAAGGCTCAGAGGAAGCATGACAATGAAATCCTGATCAAGCTGGACCATGAGGGCGTGATGTCTCCAAAGACAAAGAAGATGAAGGAGGCGATGAGGATGCTGGAGGACTCAAACCTGGCCAGTCGCAGAGACAGCAAGAGTCTGTTGGGGCTGGGCTATTCCCCTGCAGTGGGTGCGGAGGGCAAGCAAAAATCTTCCCGAGCCAAAGCAGCTGAGGGAGACCCTTCTCCTGCCAGCTTTGGAGGAAAGTTCGATGGCTCGGTGGAGAGCCTCACTGCTTCGAAGGACCAGGAAGAAAAGGCAGCAGCTCCAGCAGCCGTGGAGGAGTCCGAGAGCAACAGCAGCGATAGCAGCTCAGAGTCAGAAGGAGAAGAGGAGGCTGAGAAGAACCAAGGGGAAGCCCAGGACAGCAGCTCAGCCAGCTCAAGAGCATCCACCCCTCTCTCTTCCTCCAACTCCTCCTCCTCTTCCTCTTCTAGCAGCAGCTCCTCTTCCTCCTCCTCTTCCTCCTCTTCCTCAGCCTCATCAACCTCTTCTTCTTCGAGCTCCAGCTCTTCTTCCTCCTCCACTACGGATGAAGACTCATCCTGTAGCTCTGATGACGAAGTAGCTGAGGCCCAGCCAAGTTCCTCGGTGCAGCAAACCCTCCCACCCAAGCAAACCAAGCAGGCAGGGAAATCCCGCGCGTCCTCCCACCCCCAGAGCCAGAAACAGCCGGCGCAGCAGCCGGTGCAACAGCCGGCACCACAGCAGAGCGGCAACAAGAGCAGACCCAAAAAACGCGAGGGCATCCACCTGCCCACCACCAAGGAGCTGGCCAAGCGCCAGCGACTGCCGTCAGTGGAGAACAGGCCTAAGATTGCCGCTTTCCTCCCCGCGCGGCAGCTGTGGAAGTGGTTTGGGAAACCCACACAGGTAAACAGAGCCTCTCCCACTTCTCCGTAGCGCTCTGCTCTGGCGTTTGCCTCGTGGTGCCTCTTAGCCATGCGCTTTCCCTTCTCCTGGGGTGGTAAAACTGTGGTGGCGTGGTGTGTCTCCAGTTTGCAAGGAGATTTGGGATTGGTCTTCCTTGTGTCTGGGGGAGCCATGCTGCGTGGCGTGTCCCTCTGCCCTGTTTCCCATGGGAATGCTTGTGGACGTTGTGGCTCTGGTGACAGTGAAGGGTGGGATGCGGGACAGGGTGGTGGGTGGGAGAAACCTAGGCGGTCCCTGGCTGCTCACCTGTGTGGTCCTCTCTTGGCAGAGACGAGGAATGAAAGGGAAGGCCAGGAAGCTCTTCTACAAGGCCATCGTTCGGGGCAAAGAGATAATCCGCATCGGAGACTGTGCGGTCTTCCTCTCAGCTGGCCGCCCCAACCTGCCCTACATTGGCCGGATCCAGAGCATGTGGGAGTCGTGGGGGAACAACATGGTGGTCCGAGTCAAATGGTTTTATCACCCAGAAGAAACCAACCCTGGGAAGAAACTCAACGAAGGCAAGGTAGGCTGGTCTCCTTTGCCAACAGGGCTGCAAAGCTGCTTGTTCCCTTTTCTTCCCCAAGGATGAGGAAAACACCTGTGGCCCAGTTTGTTACTGGTACTGTAATGGGCGTGGGCCCATCATTTCATGGTGTAAGGGCTGCCTGTGGTGTGGACAAGCCTGGCGTTTACCCCTTGAGCAGGGGAAGGGTGGGTTTTATAGTACTACAAAATAAAGACTTTTGTGTTGGTCCAAAAAGAGCATCAAGAGCTGGATCGAGTCTTTTTACAGTGTGAAAACGACTGGCCTGGTGCTCAGAAACACGAAATTTTGCTCACGTGTGCAGTGTGGTTTACAGTAGGCGCTTAGTATTTATTGCCAGTAGCCGTGGATGGGAGTCGAGGTTGTGAAGGCACGTGTGGTGGGCAGGAGGCGATAGCATGGAAAAACAACTAATTCACCTGCTTTTCATTTCTGTTCTCTCTCTTCTCTTCCTCTTGGGCACAGCGCTGGGATCAGAAATCGGGCAGGAGTCTGTCCACAGCTTTGCAGGCATCCAACCAGAGGAAGGACTTTATGGAGGTTGGTGAGGTTGGGGGAGGGCTGAGAGGGGAAACTGGGGACACCGTAACAAATGCAGCTGGGGCACTGCCCCCCGAGCTTCTCTGGCTCTTGCTTTTTGCCTCAGCTGCTGATTCCACAGTGCCCAGGACTTTGGATGGGTGTTACTGGGAGGGTGGGAGTAGCTGCAGGTGCTGGGTGTTGGGAGGAACAGAGGACTGGTCTCCGGCACCCATCTTTGCATTTGCATCTTGAAGTGAGGATGACAAACTCCTGGCCTCCGTATGGCCCGCTGTGTGCTGAGCAGCTGCGGTGTTCCCATCAGTGGGAGCTGAGCGAGGGCTCAGGTTTAGCGTGCTGGACGGATTGTGTCCACACTGCCCGTGGACCCATGCAGATTCCCAGTGTCCCCCAGTGGGGAGTTCTTGCTTGAGTGTGAGCGCAAGCCCTGGGAAGTTGTGATGGATGTTTTTCCTGCATATTGAAGATGATGCTGTAAATGCTGTGAGATTTAATCACTTCTTTTCTTTCCGTCTCCCTCTCCTGTTCCTGTAATGCAGCGAGCTCTCTACCAGTCCTCTCACGTGGATGAAAACGATGTCCAGACCATCTCACACAAGTGTCTTGTTGTTGGTCTGGATCAATATGAGCAGATGCTAAAGACGAAGAAATACCAAGACAGTGAGGACCTCTACTACCTTGCAGGGACCTATGAGCCCACTACGGGCATGATCTTCAACACCGACGGGGTCCCTGTCATCTGCTGACTGCCCGGGGGACACGTGCCACCCCCTGGGAAGGGACGGGACAAACCTGAGGACGTGCCTGTTCAGACGACATGATTGTTTCTTTCAATGCTCATGACTTCTGTGTCACACTACAGATAAGAGAGCGCGAGAGACACAAGGAGGAAGGAGAGGGCTGAAGAAAGGGATTGGGGGAGCAGTTACAGGACTTGAGGAAGATGCCGTTGGGTGGTGGTGGTGTTTGAACCCCAAGGCTCCTCTGGAAGTGGCTTTAAGTAAGGTGACGCTTGACCAACTTCTCCCTTCCTCCTTTTGGTCCAGGAAAGCACATGGGTCTCATGATCATTTCACCAGCGGGACCCCCCCGGCAGGAGGGATCCCTTTTGTGTCATTTGCCCCCATCAGTAACTCGGAAGCTGCCTGTACGTGGAAGGACACCCGCTAGCCTTCTGCGTACGCTCCTCTCCGTCCTTATATTCCCTTTCCTGCTTAGTTTCGCATGACCCTTTAGGAAGGACAGGGTGAAAGAGAAAGGAGATGAGTCTCTCTCAGCGCCTCGTCTCGATCCTCTCGGCGCCGTTTTGCGGTTCCCTTTCCCTGGAGGCCCCTGGCCGGCAACGTGGAGCACGAAGGGGCAGAGCTGGCCCCAGCACGGAGATGGCAGAAGAGGTCCTCCAGGCTGTGAGGAGCCTGGTGGAAGACGAGCCAACGTCCAGTCTGGGATGCTGCTTTCCCACTGCCTCGAACAAACAGTCTGAACCCACCTTCCCCATCCCTCTGCATCCCTCCTGCCCTGGAAAGGCGCTGGGGGGGAGCGAGTGCGTGGCGAGGGGGTGACACTTGGCAAACAAAGAACTTGTCTTGGAGTATGCAGTGAAGGGGGGCAGGAAATGACTGGGAAAAGCTGCTGCTCGGTGCTTGGAGCAGAGGAGACCACAGGCCATAAGATTTTTGGCATCCCTCACCCAGCTTTACCGCCCCCCCATGCCTTGCCTGAAGCAGAGACGAGCTGCTGGGAAGCCCTCACCCCTCATTTGAAGGGAATGGGGGTGAAGCCCGGCCATGCCTGCCTACGGTGTTTCCACAGCCAGAGCTCCGCTGCCACCTTGGGCTTGGGGAGGGGACCATTCCACTTGCTCCATCCAGCTGGTCAACCTCCCCTCCCCACGGCTCCCAGAGAGCCGCCACCATCGCCTCCTCTCTCCCTCCGTGGAGCTGACCCACCGTCTCGCTCCCACTGGGCGCACGCCGGACCCGTGGCCTCACCGCCACCACACCAGGGTTGCACCCAGCCAGAGGGGACACCGGAGGAGAACCACGCAACGATGCAACATCCTTGCACTTAACAAAAAAAAAAAAAAAACCAAACAAACACCTCCCAAGAGACGCACTGATCTTTGCAACTACCGACTCGCACTACAGATTGCTAGGACACGGAGCGGGGCCCGGCTCAGCCAGGAGCGACGGCCCAGGCTCCGGTGGGGAGATGCTTAAGACAAGGACAGATTGGAAACTATCCGCCCTGGTACAGGCTGCGTACCAGAGACTGGAGGCCGGGGCTCAGGGGAGAGGGACACCCCTGTGACATTACCCCTCGTCCTTTAAACGAACCACACGGTGCTGAGCTCGTACCACCCCCACCCCCGGGCCACCGGCGCCTCGACGCGGCGGATAGTCACGGTTCTAGCCTGTACAGTTTTAATGTACCAAAAGACTCTTTAGCCCTCCTGTATTATAAGTCTTTAAATGGATTCAACTTTTTAATAAAAAAAAAAAGAAAAAAACCAACCACAGAAATGAACACAGTCTGACGTTTAGAATATTATTTTTTATTTCCTGTTGGATTGTGATTGTAAATGATCTGGGAACAGGCACACCCCCCACGCTCAAAGTGTACTGTACTTCTAGAAGCAAATTGTGTGAGCATATTTTAAAGAGCGAGAGAGAGAGCGCGCGAGAGAGATTTTATGCTAATGTTAAATAGAAAGCACTTAAAACCCACTGCCTTCTATGGAACACAAGGATATTTCAGACAATCGAGAGGAAAGGAGAGCCAGGTTTTTGTCTTTTTTTTTTTGTTCTGTTTTGTTTATGTTTTGTTTAAAACAATTTTTTTGGCATTCTGTTTGTTGGAGAACTCCGTGTGATCTTTTTTCATAAAAAAAAAAAAAAAAATTAATTGAAAAAAAGCAACCCAACGAAGCATCTTTCTTTGTCTCGCTTGTCCTGACTGCAGGGTTTTTCTCCCCTTGGTGATCATGGTCGTGTTTTGGCTCAGCCCCTGCCCCGTGTTTGGGGGAAAAAGACCCAACCCAGGTGCCACGTGGCTTTTTGGGACCCCCCTGTCCATCCAGCGGTCCCCCTTGTGGGGTGGCACTGATGGACGGGATGGGATCCAGGAGTGGAGGTCTCTGCTCACTGCGGCCCATGGGGCAGGAGGTGGAAGTTCTTCCCTGTACGGTGGCTCCCGTACCCCGAGTCCTGCAGTGTTGAGGATGAAATCTGGATTTCCTCTTTTTGGTGTGAGCTCTCGTTGGGTGAGGCCCTCCGGTGCTGGTGGGGCTGGGTCGGGGGCGCCAAGCCTGCAGCTCGCTGCCTCCTGCTCCCACCGCTTCCTTCGCTTCCCTGGGAGGTGGCACCCGCCGACTCCTGGCGCAACGAAGTGCAGCCGGTCCCGAAAAGTAGCAGCCTCTGGTGTTGGCACCTTCTGCAGATGGTTTCTGTTCTGCTCAGCCCCTTCCCTCTCTGGTTTGCTGCCCTCAAAGGTGGTGTGCTCCAGCAGCGATTTGCAGGCTTGCAGGGATTCGATGGGACCCGGTGACAAATCCAGCATCCCCAGGTGACAGAGGGGACCCTGGAGATGGGGAGCAACACAAGGGACACCCCGAAACCACCCAGGACTGGCAGCAGGCATCACCCCGTGTGTGTTTGCCAGCCCAGCCCGTCACCAGCAGCCGAGTGCCTGCAGTGCCAGGGCCACACCAGTGGCACGGCTCACGACCAGCCGTCGTGGCAAAGACATTTAATCTGGCGTCAGCTTCATTTATGTCCCTTGCAATAAATCCTGAAGCTCAGCAGTTGGCTGTGGGTGACATCCACAGTGCTGTGGGCTCAAGACCCCTCCTCAGGATCTTCCCCTCTGCCCCGCTGCAGCCCGGGAGAGGGAGGTGATGGGGCAGACCCGCGGTGTGGGGTGGGGGGAGGCAAGACCCTGCCTCTCTCTCAGTTGAGGGGACAAACAAAAGACACGACCGAAAAAAAAAGAGACTTCTTTTTCCAGCCAGCAGAAGTGAATTGGGTCTTTTACACAGCGATTGGCATATTTGGGGAGGAATCATAGTTTCAAGCCATTTTTGGTGAAAACCTGCAGCACCATCAATGAAAGCCGAGACCCACCAGGGCCTGAAGGAGCAGTTCCTTCCTCTCTTGCTCCTCCTCTTCACCAGACCTCCATCACCCTCCTCCCCAGCGCCGGTCCTTTTCCCCTTGGGATTTGGCAGTATTTTCTTCCTCCTGGCAATGGCTTGGCTCAAACAGGAGAAGACCTCCCTCCCCTCCCCACCAGAGAGCTGCACATCACTGATGGGCAGCCCCCCAGGAGCAATGGGACTGTCCCCTGGGGTGGGGAGTATGTCACCCCAAGAATTGGCCCTGGCTGGGCAGCACGGGCCGTTTTGGGATGTGACAGCCCCATGCCAACGGGATGCCGGTCCCTGTCCACTGTTAATCAGTTTTCTGGCTCCGGGCTCCCTCCCCAAGGAGGGACATGGGCCAAGTGGGGCGGTGGGGACCATGGTGGGAAGCAGGTCCCATCTTGTCCCCGTCGCCCCGCCCCGGGGCTCAGTACCCCGACGTAAAAGAGCCATTGGAGGTTTCGGTGTAGAAACAGGTACTGTGGGACGTACTGGTGAGGCTGTAGGCAAAATATGCCACGGCCGAGCCCAGCGTTAGGCCCGTCATGTAGGACACGGTCATGGTGTTCCCTGCAGGAAGGGACACAGGGTGTCAGGGGGCTCTGGCCACCTCACGTGGGGGTCCCCGAGAGGGCTTGGTCCTACCTGCCAGCTCCCGCTGCTCAGGGCTCACTTTCCCAGCAGCCAGGATCATGGGGACACTGCCGAAGTAGCCGTTGGTGATGCCCATGAGGAGAGAAAAGATGCAGGGCCAGGCAGGGTGGCCAAAGGTGGGCTTCCCATTGGGGTAGACGCACATGATGAAGAGGGGGATGAAGACCACGCGGAGGCAGGAGTAGATGAGGAGGTGGGTCCCTCTCCAGTCATAGGGCAGGGCAGCCAGGATCTGCAGCAAGGGGCAGAGACCATGCTGTGGAGACTGGGGAGGGCAACATGGTCCCCAAAATGGGGCAGCAAGGAGAAGATGAGATGGTGGCAAGACCATCTGCTGTAGGAGCCCAACCTCAGCCATGCTGGTGAGCAACCTTACACTATTTAGATACCCATGGGGTGGAGATGGCCCTTAGCAGAGCCAAGCAGCTTTGAAAGAGGACACAAAAAGGAGGCATGGTGGAAGGGATGCATCCACCCCACCGCCTTGGAGTTGACCTCTCTCCTACCTTGCCGACGAAGTCGGAGAGGTTGAAGATGGCCATGATGAGGATGGGGAGCCATTCCCCCAGTGTGCAGTTGTGGATCTCTGACTCCAGCCCAGGAAAGAGGCACAGTGTGATGAAGTAGGTCATGGCGATGGAGAGCATGTAGGCCCAGATGAGCCGGGACACCACGTAGCGGTGCAGCAGCATGTCTGGCAGGTATGGGCAACACGGCTCAGCTGAAACCCACAGCCCTACCCTTGCAGAAAGTCTTGCCCACACCCCAACAGTGGCTTCCAAAGACGTGATTGCCCCATGGTTTTGGGTGCATTGAGAAGGAATGACCCTTCCCCAAAGCCTTATGCCACTGATGGCTCCTTCTACCCCACAAAATGCTGCAAAATTGGCTCCCCCCGCCCCTCCCCTGAGCCCACCACCCACCTCTGAAGCTGGGCCAGCTCCTCTTGATTTTGGGCCGAGGGACATCAAAGCGCATGTAGGTGCCGCTGCCGGCCAGCTCGGCTTCGGGGCCTGGGCTGCCCTGGGGGGAACTCAGCTGCCCCCGTGGCCGGTTCTCCTGCATGGGGGAGAGAAGAGACACCAGTGCTGAGGTCCAGTGGGGAGAGAGACCTCAGGGGGCATCAAGGAAACCTGCCCTTGGCTTACAAATCGGACATCCTCAGCAGTGACATCGTGGTGGATGCGGTAGCCTGTCCCATGGTCACCAGCCCCCCGAGGCTCGGGGACACCCTTGCGGGAGCAGGTGGTGTAGTAGCGGACGAAGCGGGTGCGCTTCACCAGGAGATGGAGGATGAAGCACGTCAGCTCCATGCCAATGGAGATGAAGAAGAAGATGACCGTGTTCTCCTTCTCATCTGACAGCAGCAGCTTGGTGAAGATGCGGCTGAGCGAGATGATGACCCCAGCGGTACCTGGTGGCATGGGAGAGTTGTTATTGGCACTAGGTCGTGCTGAGCCCTGTGTCTCAGGGACCCTCAGCATCCCCCCACCGTATGGAGGTGATGCCTCCAGATGTGGAGTAGTGGTGATTTTTGGGGCAGTGAAGCCGGGTCCCAGCAGACACCCCCCACCCCCAGCTTGGCGTGGCAGCGGAGTGGGTCTTG